AATTGGCTGATGACTAACTGTTTGCCAAATAGCCTGTGCTATTTGTGTTTATAAATTAATTTAACTAGATTAACAAAATTTTCTCCAAAACCAAATAATTCTAAAGTACGAAACATACATTTGTGTTTGATAATGTCAAAAGCTTTAAAAAAGTCTAGAAATAAAATGAAACCATCTTCAATTAAATAATTATAATCCAGTAAATCAAGCAAAAGTAGCTTTCTCCCTCCTCTATCCACTTTGCTCTCGATCTTATATATGCTCCTTTGGCTTTATCAACATAAATGTTGTCTAACGAAGATTGAAGGAGTAGTAGTTTTTGTTTATCATATTCACTTAAGAAGGATTTAATACAAATACTGTTTATTTCTTTAATAATTTCCAATTCTTTTTTTTCTTTTTTTTTACTATTCCTGCTTAATAATTTACCGTAAAATATAGAAATCTGACGTACTTTATACTTTAAATATTCCCATTTCTCTCTATAAGTTTTAAAATTTGAATCTAGATTTATATTATTAATTGTAGCTATAATTTCATGACAAAAGGGTTCACTATGTACAAGGTTTGAATTGAATTTCCAATAACCTTTTCTCCTTTGATATGCATTTGTAGGTCTAAGAATAAGCTTAACCATACAATGGTCAGTTAATGGTGCAGCAGAAACTATAGAGTCTGACTCCAGACCAGATCTAAATTCAGAGACTAACCAGAAATCTAACCTGGATTTGACTGAACCATCAGGTTTAAACCACGTGAAAACTTGAATACCAGGGTTTTCAGTGCGCCATATATCTATCAATTTAAACAAACTACAAAAGTCTAGCAATATGGGATTGTAATGGTGTCTCTGGTATTTTGAAGGAGATCTATCACCATATTAAAATCCCCTCCAAAAATAAAATCTTCAGTAGGATACCTTTGGCGTAGATCCTTAACATCTTCCCGGGTAAAAGTACGGCAACACCTGTGGACCTATTAGAACCATGAGAAAAAAAGTATTTTATCTCTTTTATCTCCTGGCCAGAATTTTTCATCCAAGTCAACAGAATGAGTTTCTTGGAGAAGAAAACATTGCGCTTTTTCATTTTTACAAAAAAGAAAGATGGATTTCCTTTTATCAGAATCTCTTAGACCACTAGTGTTGAGTGAAACATAAGAGAACATCTGGTTATAAGAAAAAATATAAAAAAGAGATAAATAAGCAAAGGGAGAAATAAAATAAGTAAATTAGTTTTTTGGAATTAAACACTCCTGCAAGGCCCCTATCAATCATTATTAAATACAAACAAGTTAACTGTAAAATGAACACTTTTCATTAAATAAAAAATCAAAAGTGAACAGCCTTTGTTAACTTGGCTTCACTTTTTCTCCCCTCCTTTCGAACTGAAAAATATCAACTTGAAGAGAGAAGAAAGAAAAAAAAACGTTTATATCGAATTAACAAACTGACAATTAAGGAATTTTGTTTTCCCCCTTTTTTTGCCAGTATAATTACCAGCGGAGAGTGTTGTGTCGCGGAGCCAATGATTAATTTCTTCAGTGTAGTCAATGAAGCTCGAGAAGCAGAGTTCCAGATGTTAAAATACGACTTTATTAAACAAAGTAACAAAGCCGAGATAACGGTAACCGCATCTGAAGTCTCTGTCTGTCTGCGCATCCGTTTTACGCGCATCCGTTTTATACCTTTTTCTCTTACCAAAGTTGGTAGTTCCGGTTTTTTATTGGTTATGCCTGTCTGGTTTGCCACAATTTATTACTAGCCCACCTGGTCCATTTTTTAATGGTGGAATTTGGCCAAATCAACCATTTTTTTTAAACTTTCATTTTGCCGCCTCCCATTGGTTGGCGGTGGTCACATGAGACATTCATCAAATCTGTTTACTTGTTCCTGTCAAATTCTGGAAATCACCCAGAGTTCATTGGGTTATTTAAATTCACTGGTACAATCCAATGGAAACCACTGGTACTGCCCAATGGAAGGACCCTCATACATACAATCCTCATTAAGACATACAGTATTGGGAATAATTCAGCATATTGATTAGTACACTGAACAAAATTATAAACGCAACACTTTTGTTTTTGCCCCCATTTGTCATGAGCTGAGATATTTCTTTCAACATATGAAAAACAAGGTCTTTAATATATTTCCAAAAATGCCTATAGAAGTTACTCGTTAATCCATCTGAACCAGGCGATTTGTCTAATGATAAACAATTCACTGCTTTTTCCACTTCCTCCATACTAATATCTGCATCACAAACATTTTTAAAATGCTCATCTACTGTTGGAATCCAATCCTTAATGTGATCAAAGAAAGCATCAGCATCTGTATGTGAATAAGAGGAGGAGTATAAATTACTATAGAAACAATACATTTCCTTAGAAATTTTTTCAGGATCTGTACATTCTTGATCATTAATCAGTAAAGCTTTAACACTGTTACGTTCTTGTTTCTTTTTTTCCAGTCTACAAAAATATGCTGAACTCCTTTCTCCCTCCTCTATCCACTTTGCTCTCGATCTTATATATGCTCCTTTGGCTTTATCAACATAAATGTTGTCTAACGAAGATTGAAGGAGTAGTAGTTTTTGTTTATCATATTCACTTAAGAAGGATTTAATACAAATACTGTTTATTTCTTTAATAATTTCCAATTCTTTTTTTTCTTTTTTTTTACTATTCCTGCTTAATAATTTACCGTAAAATATAGAAATCTGACGTACTTTATACTTTAAATATTCCCATTTCTCTCTATAAGTTTTAAAATTTGAATCTCCATTTATATTATTAATTGTAGCTATAATTTCATGACAAAAGGGTTCACTATGTAGAAGGTTTGAATTGAATTTCCAATAACCTTTTCTCCTTTGATATGCATTTGTAGGTCTAAGAATAAGCTTAACCATACAATGGTCAGTTAATGGTGCAGCAGAAACTATAGAGTCTGACTCCAGACCAGATCTAAATTCAGAGACTAACCAGAAATCTAACCTGGATTTGACTGAACCATCAGGTTTAAACCACGTGAAAACTTGAATACCAGGGTTTTCAGTGCGCCATATATCTATCAATTTAAACAAACTACAAAAGTCTAGCAATATGGGATTGTAATGGTGTCTCTGGTATTTTGAAGGAGATCTATCACCATATTAAAATCCCCTCCAAAAATAAAATCTTCAGTAGGATACCTTTGGCGTAGATCCTTAACAACTGTTGTAATCTCAGTAATTAAAATGTTGTTTTGGTTATGATTATTATATCCATATATATTTCCCAAAATCAAAAACATTTTCATTTATTTCAAAAACACAAATTATCCAGTGACCACAAGTATCCCTAACAGTGGTTAAAATCTTCCCGGGAAAATTATTTAAAAGTACGGCAACACCTGTGGACCTATTAGAACCATGAGAAAAAAAGTATTTTATCTCCCCATTGGTTTGGCCAGAATTTTTCATCCAAGTCAACAGAATGAGTTTCTTGGAGAAGAAAACATTGCGCTTTTTCATTTTTACAAAAAAAGAAAAATAGATTTCCTTTTAACAGAATCTGTATTTATGATTTAAATGGGGATGATTGTATTGAGAATAACTTTCATCTTTTCTTCAACGTGCTGATGTATTTTAAAGAGTTGGCAGTCAAAATTAAAACTGCTGGATGATAGATACTCTTCATTCTTTATGACACATAAGATAATGTGAATTACAGAATGTACAACATTTTTAAAAGGTATCAATTGCGGTGTACAGCGTTTATTATGAGGGAGTAGAATCCACAGCTCAGTACTCACTACTCAATACTCATGAGTACTTTTAAATAGGCTACTCTTTTACTCTTACTCAAGTAGTTTTTTGGACAAGTGCTTTTACTCTACTCACACTACATTTTTTGGAAGGTATTGGTACTTTTACTTGAGTATATTTTTTCAGTACTCTTTCCACTACTGTATATATACATAGGCTAAATAACAGCACAAATATTTAGACTGTCCCTTATACTGGGCTGCTTATACTTTATTATAAGTATAATTAAGTATATAATTATGACAATATTACAATATTTTTGGTCAGTTTATAATGTAATACATTTCTCATAATGTAATTCTTCCAAAATTCCTTGTTTTATTTTTGTGATTATTTTTTATGATTATTTTACTTTCTTTCATGTAAAGCACTTTGAATTACCACTGTGTACGAAATGTGCTATATAAATAAACTTGCCTTGCCTTGCCTAATAATTGTTATTACATTATGAGCTCAATATTTTATTACATTTTGAGAAAATTATTACATTGTGAACATTTTATTACAATAATAATGTAATACTTATTAGATTATGTGCAGTTTTTACATTATGGTGCATTTGTTTTAAATATAGAATACTGGAAATACACAGATTTTATGTTCTGTGTTTTTTTGTATTAAGCCAAAAGATTAATAGGTGACAATGTCTGTTTTGGTCAAATGGCTTTTGCGTTATGCAAATTTGCAGGTATCAGTTTAGAAAATATAAACGTTGGTATGTATTTTTTTTTAATCATCTCATTTGATAAAAATCTGTTTACTGAAACAACTTCTTCAAGATCCACTTTGATTTATTTTGTAGGTTTCATTACAGTGTTCCAGTACAAACTGTTTAAATCATAAGCATTTTATCCACAATCTAGAAAAGCAATGTGGCCTTTAATACAAAAGTATATACAGTGGGTACGGAAAGTATTCAGACCCCCTTAAATTGGTTTTCCTCAGTTTTTCTACACTTCCAACTGCCACCTGGTGCTCAAAAAAGTGAAGTGCATCTACAAAGCCATTTTTCATTATTTGTATTATTATAATCTACTTTTCTTCCATTACCATGTACAGTTAGTATATCTAATTTTCCTGGTTGTTTGTTAGAGGATAATTTTTATTTTTACAGTGATTTTTTTCCCCAACTGTATAAGATTTGATTGTGTACATACAGTATGAAGAAACACATTTCACACAATTTTGCCTTTTTATTATTTATTAATATTGTAACACTCACATTCAAACATATATATGGGTACATTGTTTATGTGTTGCATGTTAAAAGTTGTTAGGAAGCAAAAGCTGTATCAGTGTTTGTCCACTAAAGGACAGAAAAGATTGGGTAGTAAGATCAGTGGCATACCAATATCTTACATGAATATTATTCATCAAGCAGATGCTTTTGCAAAATTTAATAAAACAACACAAAGCATAACGCATGTGGTATCATCACTGCTAGAACTGAATAAAGGTGTTTTTTTCCCCCATTTTTTTTTTGCTACAAGTGCAATAAGGCTCATTTCAAGTGCTTCAAGCATGAATACAAAGGCATTATGAACATGAAGGAGAAGGTCATGTGATCTGGTGTTATTTACATAAAAACAGCGAATACAATGGTTAGAGAAACACTGCTGTGGTAAAACATCTTATAAAAAGCATATACGACACTTTCTGACACTCACTGTCTACAATGACACAAAATCAAAACTGTGAGTAAAACTAGTATCATGCTAAATAGAGTAACAGGTATGAAGTGTAACATTATTAAAATGACAAACACATTTCTTGGTTCATTTAAAACCAAGGAAGCTTTTTACATGCAAGTTTAACAGCTTAACACACTCAGATTCATTTCTCACTTTCACTGGACAGATTCTAGAGGCTCATAAAAGCAGAAACATGTTTGTGTTGTTGTAGCTGGAGCTGAATGTTGATGATGTCAAGAGTGATTGACACTGGTGGGCGGGTCTCATGTTGTTAAACTGAACTCATCCTCTCCTCCTCATTCACTACACATACTCTCTATTCAACAGTGGCTTCATTACATCCGCTGATTCATTCACTCGCTTTCCTGTGGAATCTGAAAGAAAGTACAGAGGCAATGACAAACTAAAAAAAGAGAAGATGCACTATTGTGGATTTTGTCATATATGAGATGCAAACTAAAAAAGTAATGTCATGCATTTACAATGTACAAAATCATTTAAAAAATCATTTATCAGCATCACATTTGGTTCATTTGATAGGTTACATCTAGTTCAAGCACTTTTCTCACAAATAAAAATGGCATTTATTATATTTGTGAACTTAGTGATTCTTCTACAAAAAAAAAACATGTGAACTGAAATTTAAAGTTTAATTGGATATTTCGACATTTTGGATGTTTGTAGCATTAAAGGGTTCACCAGAAGGCCATTTCTCTCAGGACAGTCAGTTTTTAATTCACTTACAGTCATTTGTTTGAAATCTGAATGAATAAACTACATTTACATTTAGTCATTTACCAGACACTTTTATCCAAAGCGACTTACAAATGAGGACAATGGAAGCAATCAAAATCAACAAAAGAGCAATGATATACAAGTGCTATAACAAGTCTCAGTTAGCTTAACAGTACACGTAGCAAGTTTTTTTATTTATTATATAATAAATAAAAAGAAAACAGATAGAACAGAAAAGAATAGAGAAGATAGTGCAAGTTTTTTAACTGCAAGAAGCCAAATCACACACATCAGATCATGTTATTGATGTAAAGTTAAAGATATTCAGCACAAACTGCAGATTCTTACCATTATTTTCCTTCATTAATGGTTTCTCCCAAACTTCATCTGTGACATCATCACCTAGAACTAGAGAAATACAAAGACATCCTTTAGATCAAGTGTTCATGTGAACAACAGAGTTCAAAATTACTACAAAAACATCATTCAGATGCTGTTTTATCAGTTTGAAATGAAAACAGTTTGCTGTTTCAGAAGAGAAGAATTTACATTTTTGTGTTATTTACAGAGTGCTGACATAAAAGCTGAATGCAATACTCGCTGAGGTGAGGTTTTTGAATCTATAATAATTGAATTTTTAAAGAATTAAATGATCTACAGAGCAAACTCTGAATGGAGTCTGAACATTAAGCAGTTTTATCTGAATTACCTGCAGAAAAAAACAACAACTGAATCTATGAAGAAGAACTGTGATCATTATTACATTGACTGGAGTGACTCACCTCTGATAATAACAATGTATGTCTTGTTTGTGTTCCCTTTACTGCTGCGGATCTTCAGTTTATAATGTCCACCATCATTTCTTTGACACGTACCGATGGTCAGATCTCCAGTCTGATCGTTCAGCTTCAGGCTGTCTCTGAATCTCCCATCAGGACCATCATATGTCTTTCCGGTCCCTCCTTCGATTTTAGCTATGAGGGAGTTTTTATCTCCAAACCTCCACTGTATCTCATCATCTCTCTGTATTGCCGTAAGACCAGTGTTTATAGTGAAAGTTTGTAGCCTCTTCACTGACAAATACACCACTTCATGTCATAGCAGCACATAGAAAGAGAGAAATGAGGAGATTATTACAAGTCAGTAAAGTTTCATTAAGGATGTGTGTGTGTGTGTGTGTGTGTATACATGTACATGCCGTAGCAGTTCTGGCTTATTTGGTGGACTAGGCAAAATAAGACACGTCGCCCCCAAATGGTATAAAAGCGCAATATTACATACACTGATATACTTTTTTTCTATAACTATACAGGTACATCTAAAAAAAAATAGAATATCATGAAAAAGGTCAATATTTTTTGTCACTCATTTCAGAAAGTGAAACCCATATATTATATAGATTCATTACACATAGAGTGAAATATTTCAAGCCTTTATTTCTTGAAATTTTGATGATTATGGCTTACAGATAATGAAAACCCAAAATTCAGTGTTTCAGAAAATTTGAATATTGTGAAAAAGTGCAATATTGGAAAGTCATGGTGTCACACCCTAATCAGCTAATTACCTCAAAACACCTGCAAAGGTTTCCTGAGCTTTTAAATGGTCTCTCAGTCTGGGTCAGTAGGCTACACAATCATGGGGAAGACTGCTGACTTGACAGATGTCCAGAAGACAGTCATTGACACCCTCCACAAGGAGGGTAGGCCACAAAAATTCATTGCTAAAGAAGCTGGTTGTTCACAGAGTGCTGCATCCAAGCATATTCATAGAAAGTTGTGAGGAAGGAAAAAGTGTGGTAGGAAAAGGTGCACCAGCAAAAGGGATAACCGCAGCCTTGAGAGGATTGTCAGGCAAAATCCATTCAAGAATTTGGGGGAGCTTCACAAGGAGTGGACTGAGGCTGGCGTCAGCGCATCAAGAGCCACTACGCACAGACGAATCCTAGACATGGGCTACAAATGTCGCATTCCTCGTGTCAAGCCACTCCCGAACCAGAGACAACGTCAGAAGCGTCTTACCTGGGCTGTGGAGAAAAAGAACTGGACTGTTGCTCAGTGGTCCAAAGTCCTCTTTTCAGATGAAAGTAAATCTTGCATTTCATTTGGAAATCAAGGTCCCAGAGTCTGGAGGAAGAGTGGAGAGGCACAGAAACCATGTGGCTTGAAGTCCAGTGTGAAGTTTCCACAGTCAGTGATGATTTGGGCTGCCATGTCATCTGCTGGTGTTGGTCCACTGTGTTTTCTGAAGTCCACAGTCAACGCAGCCATCTACCAGGAAATTTTAGAGCACTTCATGCTTCCTTCTGCTGACAAGCTTTATGGAGATGCTGATTTCATTTTCCAGCAGGACTTGGCACCTGCCCACACTGCCAAAGGTACCAAAAGCTGGTTCAATGACCATGGTGTTACTGTGCTTGATTGGCTTGCAAACTCGCCTGACCTGAACCCCATAGAGAATCTATGGGGTATTGTCAAGAGGAAGATGAGAGACACCAGACTCCACAATGCAGATGAGCTGAAGGCCGCTATCAAAGCAACCTGGGCTTCCATTACACCTGAGCAGTGCCACAGGCTGATTGTCTCCATGCCACGCCGCACTGATGCAGTAATGCAAAAGGAGGCCCAACCAAGTATTGAGTGCATAGAAATGAACATACTTTTCAGAAGCCTGACATTTCTGTTTAAAATATCCTTTTTTTATTGATCTTATGTAATATTCAAATTTTCTGAGACACTGAATTTTGGGTTTTCATTATCTGTAAGCCATAATCATCAAAATTTCAAGAAATAAAGGCTTGGAATATTTCACTCTATGTGTAATGAATCTATATAATATATGGGTTTCACTTTCTGAAATGAGTGACAAAAAATATTGGCCTTTTTCATGATATTCTAATTTTTTTAGATGTACCTGTATAAGCACTTAACTCAAATAACTATTAAATAATAAAATTACCTAGCAAACTGGCTGACTTAAATTGAAAATGCTAAATAATGAAATTTGTACATGCATTTAATTGACATACAAAGATGGATCCTTCATTTCTTTACAATTTAAAGTACACTATGTTATTTCATTGGCCAATTGTGGAAGTCTGATGGTTGATAGTGTGGGATTACAAATGTAAGAATCTGTTTAAAATATGCTGATCCTATGTTCTGACATAGCATCACATGAAAAACTAAGGTGAAGTACATTGTATTTAGCATTTAAGGTAAAT